GCCATTTTGAATTTACCTAGTCTGTCATAATGCGCATGTGCGAGAAACCCAGAATCTGAGTCTTCCGGTTTGGAGTTTTCCAGAGCCCAATTATTTCGTCGAGCATGCGCAGTAAGAAATAAGGGCTCTGGGTACGAGATTGAGAAAACGTGCTGAAATGTACGCATGCGCAAACGTTTTTCTGTAGACGTGTCGATCGGATACACCTGTACACGGAACTGGAAAGACGAAGCTTTTGCCGCCCTTAAACACCTTAAAGCATTTCTTTAATTCAGTAATAGAGGTAAGCTATGGTTTAATACACCGTTTACTTAGCTTTTCTTATTTCAAAGCGAATTTTGACGATTATTCTAGATCTTCCATATGATTTTGTCGTATAAAGTGATGATCTGACTGCACTTTCGCTTCCGCCTTGCTCTTTACAGTGTATTTATTAGAATCTAGGCCTACCAATGTCTCATAAAATCGAGATTTCGAAACCTGCCGAAACTGCGTGTACTCGTAACTGCTTCGAGCTCGGTTATTTTTAGATTTATAAAAAGAAGAAAAAAAGAAAAAAAGAAAAAAAAAAAACAAAAGCAGAATGTAAGATAAGAACGAGATATATATTCTATAAATATCAATTAAATGAATTAAGCTACTTGGACTGGCTCAGGGTCTATGTGTTTAGGGCCGTAGCCACAAATTTCTGATTGGTCCGGTTTTCGATGGTTTTCATTTTTTCTTATATTCTTTTATTATTTTTCTTATATTTTTTCCCCGAAAGTTGGTCCGGTTTCAACCGGACCAACCGTACCGGTGGCTACGGCCCTGGTGTTCTATGCAATGTATGTGTTCTATGTAATCTATGTGTACACTAAACTAGCGAAAACTCACTCCTTCAATCAAACGAATGAGTCCAGCGCCATATTGTTTTTAACAACGAAATGCGTCATACTAGCCGACGTGCTGCTATCTACGAAAGGCAATCTCGCGTCCCAAACAAATGACGTCATTGATAGCAACGGCTGGACGCATGCGCTGTACTAAGAGTGAAACATGAGGGCATTTGAATGTTGATAGATAGATAATTTGTAACACCGTATGGTATGTAAAAATGAAACTGACGTTTCGGACGTTAGTCCTTCATCGGAGTAAACGAGAGATGAATGTGGAAATGTGTWTATATAGTGAGCGTGGATGATAAATAACCAATGAGAGATAAGAATAAGGGAAAACAAAAGGAAACAAGAGGATCGAAAGTAACAATAGACTAATTAAACGAGAAGCGTTCGTTCATGCCAAGGGGATTAAGCGTGCCCAAGGTGTGAATTAGCCTCATTTCTTTAGTTTTGCGGCAGTCGTTACCGCCTTTAATTAGGGATAAGCCGAATACAACAAAATCAGAAATGGAATGGTCGGTAGAATTAAAATGACGGGAAACTGGTTTGGAAGAGTCGTTTTTCCGAATATCATTGAGGTGATCCCTTATACGGTCACCTAAACGACGACCAGTTTCTCCGATGTAAAGCAATGTTATTTATTGTATTCAGTGTTCTAACTGTAACCAGCTTTACATCGGAGAAACTGGTTGGAAATCCTCTTGTTTCCTTTTGTTTTCCCTTATACTTATCTCTCATTGGTTATTTACCATCCACGCTCACTATATATACACATTTCCACATTCATCTCTCGTTTACTCCGATGAAGGACTAACGTCCGAAACGTCAGTTTCATTTTTACATACCATACGGTGTTACAAATTATCTATCTATCAACTGTTTTACTGAAAACACCGACGCAGTTTACACTAGTTTTCACTAGTTTTCCAACTTATTCATTTGAATGTTGGTTTATCACGGCGACTTTATCAGACCAAACGGAGCCTAAACTACTATTTCGAGTCTTATATAATTGTTATTTTGTATATATTATTATTGACATATTATTTATTGTGTGAGAGACGTGTTTAAAGGAAGAAATTTCACAAAAAGCACAAGTTCCTGCATCGTCTTCAAGTAACATATGGTGTCACAGGCAYTGCCCTCAAGTGGTTCTAGTCCCAACCTATCTGACAAAAAACGTGTCTGTATAAACGGGAACTTCTCGCAGGACTTTGAATTATCTCAGGGGGAAACAAAAGGATCACGTCTCTTACGTATGCAAGCAAGCTATTCGAATCTCTTTACGTATGCAAGCAAGCTATTCGAAGTTGTAAAGTCCCACCTTCCTGACATACATGCATATGCGGACGATACACAGCTGTATCTATCGTTTGAGCCAGATGTTTGGGCGGGCTGAGGTAGATGCTATTACTGCGTTACAAGATTGTATCAGTGACATAAGGACAAGGATGATAAGTTACAATTAAAT